CCCTACGAAAGCTGGGCTGCATCCTAGCCTGGGCAGGGCTGGGGCAGGGTGCCAGCCCAGCCATGCACCACTTTGCAATGTACTAGACTGTTTGCAATGGCGTGGGCAGGGTGGGAGGAAACTAGCAAGGGAGGATGCAGTACACAGTGGACTCGAAATAGCCACAGCTATTCCTACCCCTGTGGTTAAGTGCTATGGCTGCTAACCAAAAAGTCAGCAGTTCGAATCCACCAGGTGCTCCTTGGAAACTCTGTGGGACACGTCTACTCTGTCCTATAGAGTCGCTATGAGTTGGAATTGACTTGATGGCAACGGGTTCGGTTTTTTTTGTATTCCTACCCCCAGGCTTCAAGGGTTATACTGAAAACTGAATTTGAATTCATAATCTGAGAATGGCTTTGAGGCAGGGAGGGCTAGGGGCCATGAGTGATGGGAAGTCAAGCTGGTTTTGAGTAAGCCAAAGCAATGAGATCAAGAAAACATAAACAGAGTAGTGGGTGAGGTGATTCAACTACGGAACAGTGGATCTGGGCAGGGAGATACTTTATTACCCTAAAGGCAAAGGATCAACAAACTTCTGCATTTGAGGTAGAAACCAGAAAACTTAGTCAATACAGCAAAAGCTGGATTCTTCCAGTTCCCGGGCCATATTCCATTCTCAATGAGACCCAGCAGTACAGTCATCCCTGGGTTCAGTCTCTTTAATATCTTCAGTAATTTCACAGTTAACCACATGACTAGAGGTCGCCCAAGTGAACCCTTATTCCTGGAAATTTAAAGAGTCTGATTAAAATGAATACTCGGAAACTTTGACAAAGATCATGTGCTACCAATATAAAGAAAACTATACTACCTCACTGACAGGAATAAAAGATCTAAATAAAAGATTTTTATGACTGAAGTTTATAAAGATGTCATTTTTTCCAAAATTAATTTATACTACCGTGATTGTGATCAAAATCCCAATGAGATTTGAAATATAATTATTCTAAAGTTCACCGTAAAGAATAAATACATGAAAATACTAAATAAATATTTTAAAACAAGAGAAAGACGAAATTAGCTTTACTAAATTTGAAAACATTTTATAAAGCTGCAATAATTATGCTAATTATACTAATTACATGGTTGAGACACAAGAATCAACAAACAGATCAATGTATTCAAATAATTATCACAGAAAAACCCTATGCCATGTAAGAAGCGTATATGTTTTAAAGGCTGTTTCTGTTCTTGTTAGGTGCCGTCAAGTAGGTTTCAACTCATAGTGACCCTATGTACAACAGAATGAAACACTGCCTGGTCCTTTGCCATCCTCACAATCATTGCTATGTTTGAGCTCACTGTTGCAGCCACTGTGTCAATTCATCTCATTGAGGGTCTTCCTCTTTTTCGCTGACCCTCTACCTTACCAAGCATGATTTCCTTCTCCAGAGATTGGTCCCTCAAACGTGTCCGAAGTACGTGAGTCGAAGTCTTGCCATCCTTGCTTCCAAGGAGCACTGTGGCTGTACTTCTTCTAAAACAGACTTATTCGTTCTTCTGGCAGTCTGTGGTATATCCAATATTCTTCGCCAACACCATAATCCAAAGGTGTCAATTCTTCTTCGGTCTCCCTTATTCATTGTCCAGCTTTTGTATGAATATGAGGCGACTGAAAACACCATGGCTCGGGTCAGGCATACCTTAGTCCTCAAAATGACATCTTTGCTTTTCAACACTTTAAAGAGGTCTTTTGCAGATTTGCCCAATGCAATACAAGTCATTTGATTTCTTGACTGCTGCTTCCACGGCCATTGACTGTGGAACCATATAAAATGAAATTCTTGACAGCTTCAATATTTTCTTTACTTATCATGATGTTGCTTATTGGTCCAGTTGTGAGGATTTTGTTTTATGTTGAGGTGTAATCCATACTGAAGGTTGTAGTCTTTAATCTTCATCAGTAAATGCTTCATGTCCTCTTTGCTTTCAGCAAGCAAGTTGTGTCAACTGCACATTGCAGGTTGTTAATGAGTTTTCCTCCAATCCTGATGCCGTGTCCTTCTTCATATAGTCCAGTTTCTTGCATTATTTGCTCAGCATACAGATTGAATAGGTATGGCGAAAGGATACAACCCTGATGCACACCTTTCAATTTTAAACCATGTAGTATTCCCTTGTTCTGTTCGAACTAATGCCTCTTGGTCTATGTACAGGTTCTGCATGAGCACAATGAAGTGTTCTGGAATTCCCACTCTTTGCAACGTTATCCACAATTTGTATGATCCACAAAGTCAAATGCCTTTGCATAGTCAATAAAACACAGGTAAATATCTTTCTGGTATTCTCTGCTTTCAGTCAAGATCCATCACAAAGTATTGGGAAAAATATTTTTAATGCATTAGAACCATTGTTGAGGTATATTAGTAATTTAAATTCTCTCCCTATACCACTTAGGCTGAACTAGGATGATATCATAAATAGTAGACACAAATAACAACCAGTCAACTTACTGAACCTCTATTACTGATTTTGAATAGCTTTCCACTCTGTTTAAAAAAGTTAGCCAGAAAATGCTAAAACAGAAGGGTTTTAAATCCCTGGGTATGGAAGGACTTTCTAAACTAAAAGCAGTGAACTACATCACCAGAACAAACAAAACAAACCCCAACCCACCAATTCAATTATTAAATATTCCTGCCTTTTTCTTTGCTGGGAGCATTTCAGTTTTATTTTTTCCTTCATGCAGGGAGATGCCAGCTCCCCTAATTTGAAAATTATTAAATCATGAAACAATCAAATATTATTGGTTTGAGCTAACTCAAGGGATTTTAATAAGTTTTAAGTAGCTTACTTTGAGTCACTTGTTTTTAGAAACAAAATGATCTCCTTGCATGCGTACAGAATGACTGCTTGGAAAAACCTTATGTTCCTATTTCTTCATTTTTTAACTGTTTTTTATAAGTTATTTTTGTTGTTGTTGAGACTATACACAGCAAAACATCCACCAATTCAACCGTTTCTACGCGGACAATTCAGTGACATTATGTTCTTCGAGTTGTGCACCTTCCTCTTCTGAGTTGTTCCTCCTCATTAACAAAAACTCACTGCCCCCTAAGGTTCCTATCTAATCTTTCCAGTTGCTTTTGTTAATTTGATCCCACATAGATAGCTCTTAAAAGAGCACAATGCTCAAGGCAGACAATCTTTACTAGTTAGACTAAACTATTGTTTGGTTTTAAGAAGACTTCAGCAGATTATTTTTGGTTTAAGGTTTAAAGATTATCTCAGGGCAATAGTTTTCAGGGGTTCATCCAGCCTCTGTGGCTCCAGAAAATCTGGATTCCATGACAGTGTGAAATTCTGCTCTGCATTTTCCCGTTTTTGATCAGGATTATGTTTAACACTTCCTTCTCTCTGCTCTGTAGGTTGCACATGGCCTGTTCTCCATCTAATGGCATTTTTTTAAGGTTCAGCTCCCACTGCTGTCTCAAATCTTTTCGTATTTTTTTAGTTCAGTTCTTGGCATTGAGAAATGATTGTCCCAGCTCATTGCTTGGTACCAGTCAGGCAACATCATAGGCTGGCTGCCCTTGGGCTCAACCAGCTGGAGCTGGAAGCAGGAAAGTCCTGTGTGTTTTGAGGATGGGTAGGGGCTGAGGACAGCCACATGGAACAAATCTGGCCCTTCAGCAGGAATACTAGCTGCAGCATTTTTACCTAACAAAGGGCTGTGGGCCTTTCTGTGATTGGCTGTTTAGTACAGGTAAGGGATAGGCCAAAATATGAAGATCCTTTAATTCCAGAGCAAAAGAATCTGTACTTAAATTGTATAGGTAATAGTGAGTTTAGAAGTCACCCCCACCCCACCCCTCAGCTGTCTGGGTACTACAGGGTGGTTTTGGAAGAAGCCTAGGCATTCTGCTTTTTCTTTCCTATCGCTGAAAAAGAGGGCTACTTCAGCAAGGAGCTTTCAAGTAGCCTAGAGGCATAGGGTTGCTAGGAGTCGGAATAGACTTGATGGCAACGGGTTTCTTTTTAGAGGCATATCTCAAAGAGTGAAGGATAAGAGAACTATCTGTGTGAAAACTCCCTGATGCTCAGCAATAAGATTTTTAATCTAATTGGCTCCCCAGCATAGCTAAAAATATACTGTACAAGGATACAGTATCCACTCATGGTGTAACCTCATACAAATGAGTGGGCCCAGTGAGATGGTTAAGTGGTTACAAATGCTTTTTTGCTGCTGAATAGCCAAAAGAACAAAAAGACAATGATTCTTTTAATGAAGGTGAAGAAATTTAGGAGCTGGCTGTTTGAATAGCTAAGCAGCCAAATTTGAGAAATAAGGAAAACATAAATGTTTCCATGTTCTGCTCAATTCTCCCTGTGAGATTATTAAAGACAGGAAGGCAAAAATTCCTTTCACAAACTTAAACTGTGACTATTACTATACATTCAACCATGAGAAGTATACAGTAAACTCTAAAAACTATGTATTAGTGATTTGTATTCATTCAGTAGGTGTCAAACATATACCATGTAGAACAATCTGTGCCAAAGGCAGCATAGGTCTTCAATGGGTGTTTAATAAATACTGATAAACTATATTCAATTAAAGAACTTTAAATTGAATTTCTTATGGAGTACACAGCCCTCCTGAATTCTGATTTTTCGTTTGAAAACAAGGGTTCACCATTTGAAATAACTTCGCCACCCCTAGTGTTGTTTACTGTATTTTCTGGGATCTAAGCCATTGATTTCTCAACATTTTCTACAAATGAATCATTTTAGCATCAGACCAAGTTTTAGAAATTATTATAATCTTGTTATATTCTTGCTCCCCCAATCCTACACTGCCAAGTGACTATTGTTTATTTGACCTGTCACTTTTTCCAGATAAAGTTAACTGCTAAATCAGTATGTGGCTCAAACAAATGCCACAACTGAGCCAGACAGGTTAACAGTAACTCCAAAGGGGAATGGAGGGGGAGTAAAAAATGAAAAGTTACAAGTCCTTTCATGTTAACATTTTATTTAAACCAGTACAAGCACCATGCTTAACAGAAGACTGTCCAAAATAAACATGCAGTATGAACTAGCAGAGACTGAAACCACAGCATAAGACGTTGTGCCAGTTGTTGATTTTGTTAAACATTGACAGGGAACTGTTAAAATTCACAAGACTGACCATTAATGTTTCAAGCCTCCGGAATGAGATTATATTGGACCATTGAAATCAGTGGGAACTGCCCTGACATGTTAGTGATTTCAAACAATATTCAAGTAATTACATGTGCATGAATTATATTCCAAAAAACAAAAACAAAAAAAGTTTCTATCACAATCTTAATGTAGTTACAGGAATATGATCACTGATTTGAAATGTCAAATGGCATAACAGGAAACAAATTTCTCAAGAATATTCAACTTGGGACCATTGATTTTAAGTGGTCTAGATGATTATTTACATTCTTGCAGAAATACAAAATAAGGTTTGACAGAAAATGTTTGAGACATCCCTTCACATAAGTTGTAAAGGCTCAAATTCTGTAGATTTCAGTATTATCAGTCTATTGAACAAATAGGGAAAGCAACCGTACTAAGAATATTTGAACTGACAGAATACAAGTTACTCTCTACTTCCACCGAATATCAGCATTTAAACTCTTATGAAAATATCTATTCATCACTAGTCCACATTATGGATTAATGACATTGCTTGGGTTTTAAAAGTAGTCCACACATTTTTTTTTTTTTTTTAAAGGATGCCTTCCTTATTATCTATATGTGTGGGGGGAAAACAGCCAAATTTAATTTGGCAGTAAACTCCCCTAACTGGAAATTTTTAGTTAAGTGTCAGACCAGGATTCAGTTTATGGCTACATTTGACTCCTGAAAATAGGAGATAAAAAGGGAGGGAAAAGTGCTAACAGACATTCTGCTACAAAGATTATTTAGTAACAACAATAAAAAATTTAGCAACACCCTTAAACAAGAGTATGTTTAACTGCACTAGGCATTTAGTAAACTTTTTAGAAATAGACAATTCAAACGTTTTAGAAGTCAATTAAACAAAAACAGTCAACCAACTTTTTCCTAACAATTGTTTCAATACCAGAACAAAGTAAATACTATTCAAAACTCAGACAACATTTTGGAATTTCAGCATAGTAACCTGAGAACAGTTTTCTTCATAAGTCATGTATGTTGCCACAAAAACCATACTGAAAACATACTGTGAATACTAGTTGGCTCTATTTTGACAACATTAGATGCTATGCAGAACTTATGCAAAGCTAACAATTTCAAAACTAATGCTGATTTAGAAGACCATGAAGGAGGTTCCCAGGACCAAAAGCTGCTGCCAAAAAGGAAAGATTACAATTTAAGACTGAATGGGAATAGCCTGTACCAGAAAGATATGGAATGTAAAAACTGGAATTACGAAATCTAGAGTTACCATTTGAGAGAAGGCAGAAAGAAGATCAAATAGGAAATATAAAAGAACAATGCAAAATTTGGTCAGATAAAAGGGAAATTTATATAAAATTTAAGAATACGTTCGCGCATGGGATTTATAAATCTCCCTTTAGGACATTTAGTAGTATATAGACAAGGAGTAAAAAATCATTCTACTGATCCCCTAACCTCAATCTGTTGTCTTGCAAAAATACATGTTACTAATAAGGAGAGTCAGAGAAGCTCAAAAAAGCATGATTTATTACAGCTCCTTGCCCCTTTTAGAGAACAGCGGAACCAAGAGCTCTGTGTATGGCAGGTCAATATTATCTAACATTATGGAGGACAGAGCTTTCAAAACAAAAACAAAAAAACCACACAAGACACAATAAGGAACCTCATTAAAAACTACATTCTTACAGCCCTAGTCAGTTTCTCTTATTGCTGTGAACCAAGTGAAATAAAATCTTATTTCCTTCATTCAAAAACGTTAACACTCTCCATTCACTTGGATAACATTTGCGTTTCTGCAGAATTTTAAGCAAGTTATTCTCCAATATCAAAATACCTGTTTAAAGAATTCATAAACTTCCTGGGTGAAGTTTTCTCTCTCTCTGGAAATTGGAATAAAGACTCATTTTCACTCATTAACCAAAACAAATACCACTTTACCACTTTCTCATCTCCAACTAACTTCCTATTGCTTCCTTATTTCTAGATTAGTGGAGTCAAATAGTAAGCTATAGGTATTGGGAAGAGAAGATGCTCTCTTCAGTATTGTGAAAATTTCAACCATCTTTACCTCTTTACTGAAGTTGGCACAGAAACCTCAAAAAGGATACAAAGAACATATGAATGGAAAACACCAACACAGAAAAACGTCTTTGCTAGTTTTGAAATAACTAAAATATTCTTAATATAAGAATTTACCCACTAAATTTGGTTAGTCTTGAGTGTCTAGATCTTTTGTCAAACTAGTGTTAAACAGTTACTTACATTTTTAAGAGTACACTATATATCAGAATCCTTGCTTTATGCCAAGGATATTTGCATCTAACAAAACTGGTTAATTATTTGGCTCAAAATTAGAGCATCTTCTGACATTTAGAATATAAGATGCAAATTCTATTGATGTGTTAATGTTATTAACTATGGCCAAAGTTTTAAGATAAGTAACTTTTCCCGATGGCACAAACTTAAATCACAAATATATCTAAAATTATAACTAACAACTGCCAAATATTCACCAATGCATGCAGATAGTTGGAATTTAAAAAAAATGAAGTTGATTTTATTACAAATTTCAGATACACACATTAGAAAATTATTTTACTTGGACCCTTTACAAAAGTATTGATTTCACCAAATCTGGAATACTGGCAGTGTAAAAGTTTTAAACTAACTTTAAAGCTAACAAATCAAAGGCACAGTGTTAACATATTTCAAATAACTAGTGTTCATATGACATTAGGAGATGCTTTCTAAATAGTGTTATTAACCTAGCTTCCAAACTATCTAGAAATGACATAATCAGAAATGAAGCCCTTGATTAGTTATAACCCACCAATTTTTAAGATTAAGACACTACTTTCCAAAAGAAGAAAACCTAATAGTTATAGTCATAACTTTACTATAAAATCTAACTTCCAGACTTTAAGAATGATTGATGAATACAATTTCTGGACTTGATTAAAAAGATACAGGAAACCAAAGAAGGTACAGAATTGATGAAAAATGTACTCGCAATGTAGGTTACACTACAGTACATTACTAGTCATGGCTCAAAATTAGGTCACTCAAGTCTTTAACCCCAAATTAATTTCAAAGATTTGACAAGTGATAGTATGTTATTTTCATATATAAACTGCTAATATCCAGTATTTGTCAAAAGGAGGCAACTGTTGTCTATCACAATCTAATACCCACTTTCCAATGGTGTCTGTAAATAGTAACAAATTCTGAACCATAAGTTATAGAAATTAGTCACAAGAGTGCAAAAAGTTCCTGGAGAGAAGTAGTCCACCTAACAATTACAAATATAAGGAAACACTTTACAAAGTTTCATTACTATGAAGATAATTTCCTCTTTGTTCAAACTTTGCACAAATGAAGATTTTTCTTTACTGCAGGAAACAAACTGTAAATAACAGTGCATTTTTAGGCATAAATAAGTATTTATGTCTGGTTCCAGTATGGTCAGGTTAATACATAAATACTTTAGAAACACAGAAGTTCACATTAGTGGAAAAATCCAAGTTTCTCACGTAACCATTCTTCAGTCAGGTCTTCAGTATTTCGTATTTCAAATACCTTAAGAAAAAAACTTGAGTTATAACTGATATTCTCAAAGCAAAAATCAAACATATTATATATTTGAATATTAATACCAAATTCTGCTTCCTTTCATACCAGTCATGACTTAACCTGTGTAAATTAGATATACCTTTCGGGAGATCCTTTACTTCTTTTAAATGCTCAGTACTCAGTTTCCAAAGTTTAGCAATCAAAATGGTATAGAACCAAAATTCTCTTAAAACCACAAACCTACAAACACCCTAAAAGAGCAGCTCTATAAATCCTACCCTCTATAAATCTAAGAGAGACAAAAAAACATCCTAAGTATACACAACTAAAATTTATCTAGTTAATTAGGAACTGGAGGAACTTATACAGGTGCTCCTTAGTTTGAGCATCAAATGGAAATACCAGCTATAGACTGTTTTGATAAGGATAGAAGTCCAGAGCCACAAATCTCAGGCAGGAATCTGAACTAGCACAGACCTAGAAAGTTTAATAGCTATAGTAAGAAAATGTAATACAGCAGAAAGGAGGGGATTTGGGACCAGAAGATGTAGGTTTGAATCCTAGCTCTGCCACTTACTATTATGCAACCTTGGGTAAGTCATTAATCCTCTGAACCTCAGTTTTCTCATCTACAGAATGGGGATACCACCATCAAGCTGACACAGGGTTGTTTTGAGGATTAAATGTGATTATCTGTAAAAGTAACTTGTAAATTGTAATGTCTCAACTCTAGCACTTTAGGGCAAGCCAAGGATTAGAATAGACATGAGGCTGATCACAGGGCTCCTTTTTAACCCGTAACCCCTTAGAGCGGCTCCAGCATGTTCACATGGTACAAATTAGAAAAAGGTAGCGTCTATAAGTTGGTGGTACCAATGACAATCATATGGGCTAAAGGGAAAAAGTAGAGGGCACTTAAAGACATTCCCTGAGTTGAACGTTTCCCTCAAGGGGAAAACACTGACGATGTCACTAAAATAAACCTGAAAGGAAATATTTCTTGATACAGTTTTAGTGATGTAATAGTCTATTTCAAATCTTAAATGTATACACATTTTCAACTCAAATTAATATGTGGAAGTTATATAAAGTCTCAGAGCAAGTACCTCTCACCTTTAACCTTCAAAAATGCCATTAAACAATGAGGACATGTTAAATCTTAAAGCTAACATCTCATATAAAACAGAATGTCCTAGCTTTATTACAATTCTTAACAATTTCAATAATTTAATTTTAAATTTGGAAACCACAGTTAACTGCACAATATGGAATTTCTGCACAAAACTTGGTTCATTTAGTTTACGGTAAAGCGCTCAGACAAGGTGCGGTGCTGACCTTATTACAAAATCTATTAGAAACTACATTACGGAAAAAATAAAGACCTCTCAAAAGACTGAACAGTAAATAGTAGCTTTTCTAAAGCTGCTTAGATTTTGAATGAAAGTGATTTCTTCTAATCAACTTATAATTCCCAATTCATAAAACACCTTCCGGTTCAAAGATTTCTATCCTCCTATGTTCACTTAATAAAAAGCTTTGACTAGTTTTCTGCTCTGGTCTAAATAACTTTCAACTATATAAAAAAATACTTATACCTTCAGATTATTTTAGCTATTGCTCTATACACTAACAGGTACTTCATATGTAAATAAAAGTAAAGTCATTAATTCTAAGAGTAAGTCATCATAAAAAAGAACAAAGTCTTGGATTACAGAATCTTTTTCTCCTACAGTAATCTTTTTTTTAAGGGAAAATATTATCTCACAAGCAAGCCAAACATAAATACTACCTTGGTTAGTTCAGCTGTTTGGACTAGCTTATTTTTACTCCCAGCATACATCATCTGCTGTTCAGGCTTACATCCTGGAAAAGAGAGATTAGTGTGGAAATAAGACAGACATTTTGAAAAAATGATAAGTTTTCATTATTTACTTTTTAAAAATGAAACATTTAGGATTTCCTCTCCCACCAAGTTTACAAAAACCTCAGTCTAAATGTATACAGACTGTATTTTGAGTCTTATTTTGCAGACTACCAGCACAGAGACATAACTAAATTATAAATAAATAAGTCTATACCAACCAACCAACCCATTGCCATCGAGTCGATTTCAACTCATAGCGACCCTACAGGACAGAGAAGAACTGCCCCATAGGGTTTCCAAAGAGTGGCTGGTGGATTCAAACTGCCAAACCTTTTGGTTAGCAGCCTGAGCTCTTAACCACTGCACTGCCAGAGCTCCAAATAAGTTTACAGGGCAGCAAAAATAAGCGGGGCTAGACTTTTAGAGCCTTGCAAATACTTAACTTGTCAGCAACTATCTTCGTTCTGACATTAAATATCAAGATCAACTTTACGGATGCCTAAAATGTGTAAGGTTTTACTATGGTGGTGGGCCAGTGGGGCAGGGAGATCTGCCCTGAAAAAAAAGTTACAGTCTGCTTACATATTAATTTTAAAATACACTGCAGTACCTATTAAGAACTAAGTAAAAGATACAAAGAATAAAGTTTGGAGAAGAGTTCAGTGAGTAGAGACTTTATTGTGGGTTTGAATGGTGGTGGTAGTGGGAGTTCTGGTGATGACGGCCTGTCTTAAATACTAATAACCATTTTAATATCTAATTTAAGCTACTCTTGAGACCATTCTCAAGATTATAAGCACATTATTGGTAACTACTATTTTAAAGATAAACAAATGTATGCCATGATTATACACAAAGTTTACGTATCTATAAACAAGATTAAAACATTAAGAAAATGTACTTTTGATATTTAAAAATGTCATTACATTTCAAAATCCCTAGAATGTGCATATGGTTTAACAATGACGCTTCTAGGAATTTATCCTAAGAACATAAGCAAGTTCTAAGAGAAGATGCCTTATAGCAACTTCTTTCTAGAGGTGCATGCATGTGTGCACATGTACACACATACATACATATACATAGACACACACACACACCCCCCTCAATTTAGGTGATTTAACACTTTTCATCTTAAAAAAAAAAAAGCATAAAATTTGTTTAGTATAAAATTTGTTTAATTATATCAAGGCCAAATATACACTATTTAAAGAAATTCACTTACCAACAGGACTGGAGAAAATAAAGCACAAAGGATATGAAACTCTTCCATCATCATGTTGATATTTATAACTATACACAATGAAGGTTTTTCTCAAGTTAAAGAAATTAAAATTACTGCTCTTTCTGAGCCAGGTGTCCATTGCTTTTGGGCCAATTCCGACTCATAGCAACCCCATGTGTTACAGAGCAGAACTTCTCCATAGGGTTTTCTTGGCTGTAATCTTTTATGGAAGCAGATTGCCAGGCCTTTCTTCCATGGTGTTTTGAGCCAGGTACTTACCAACAAAGTTCTGAAAGAAAATACATACCTGGGGAGTTACAGAGTGGCAAATTTCTATCCTATCCATTTAGGCCATATCTACACTGTTCCTTATATTTCCACAAAATTATTAATGGATCCCAAAAACAGCTTATCATAAAATCATATACTCTCTCAAAAAGAAATTCATTAAAAGTATGAATTTGCCAATATGGATTTTTCCCTCAATTTTTATTGTACACACATTGTCACAAAGGGAATTCTTTACAAAAGGAAGCAATTCATCACATGAATACATCAACTATTTCTTCTAATTCAATATGTACATATATATTTTAATTTGGCTGTGATCATAATATAGAAGGAAATTTTATAAAATATATGCCTTTTGAAAGTTGAACAAATGAGCTTCACAAATAAAATCCTGACCACTAAAGAAAACACCTTTTTAAAGCACAAAGAAAAAGGATATCGAGGTTGTCGTTCAGGTAGTTCATCTTTAAGTTCATCAGGTGAAATGCCCTGGCGTGATAAAAAAAAAAAGCAATTGTTAAATATTTTCTTACCCATAAATCCTTAAGGAGATATACTGAACATCTATTCTACTAATAGTTATAAATTCAGAACCACATGCCACAAAGTAAAATTTTATTTTACTAAACTGTACATAAAACTGAGGTTACTAAATTCTCCTTCTAGTCAAAGCCCACTCCACTTAGTTCCACTTATTAACTAAACATAGGGCCGAAAGGCACAGTAGTCTATGCTAATGTTCCCAGTGTCAGGAAACACTAAGACAAGCCATCTCCTCAGAGAAAACAACAACATCAGATTAAGGGGGAAAATTAATTAATTTGATGAACTAAACATTTAAGTTACAGGGTCTTAGTTTTTATATTACTAGCCATCCAGTTTAGAAGCAAGTTATAAAGTTGACTCAGTTTTTTGGACACAAAGCCCTACCTTCTATCATTTATTACACTGGATTTCACTCATCCTTTAAAGAAGATGGCTATATTAGCAAGACAATACACTACACATTAACTGGCACATGCTTTTTATGCGCAGTGAGCATGCATTTAAATTAGGTTCAGAACGCATTTTAGAAGAAGTATATGTAACTAACATACCATCGTTTGAGCAATAATAATTCCTTAACTATAAAATTGTATTTAGCTGATTGAACAAACCTCAAGCTCCTCATCCAGTACCACCAGGCGTTTATCCTTGTCAATCTTCACTAAAATAAAAACATAAAAGTAAACTATAATTCTAATGTGAACTTGATCTACTCATCCCACACAGTCTCAGGCTTTTTTTTTTTCTGGCATCTAAAATTAACATATCAAGAAACAGAAGCACCAAAATCAACAAGCAGTTTTAGTTTACAGTCTGTTAGCTAGCTTTGCTTTTCAGGCAGTCAGCTTTTAAAAGCTTTTACTCACGATTTACAGCATCTAATTTGCTTATTTGGAGGCTCTGGGTAGTGCAAATGATTAACACGCTCAGTTGTTAATCGAAAGGTTGGGGGTTAGAGTCCACCCAGAGGCTCCTTGGAAGGAACACTGGCGATCTACTTCCAAAAAATCAGCCATTGAAAATCTATGAACCGTTCTCCTCTGACACACATGGGGTCACTATCAATCAGATTCGACTCTACAGCAACTGGCTTGCTGGTTTTAACTTGATTATTTAGAATTTAATGACAATTCCTTCTATTCACTGTACATATGAAGAACTTTGTAACTCAAACACAACTTCCTAGATAATAAGAAAAAGTCTGAAAGGATGACTGTGATTGAGACTGGTCTATGTGCAACATGATTTGAACTAGTGTAAGGGAAAAGTGGACCAGATGGATGTCAGGATAGAAAAATCGCCAGATTCCCAGCATCTCCAGAGTCAGGATTTCATGATTCAGTATCATTATACTGAGAAAGCGAATTACCAAAATAACAGAGATAACTATACTCAAATATATGTAACAAAACAATCCAAAGCCAAATCAAAATACTTTTTTTGGATAATTTACACCTCTATTCCTTTCCATTAGTCTGAAAAAGTGAAAATTTTTGTTTTTGTACTAAATGCATATTAAATCCTGAGATACAATATGATCTCAAATTTCACCTTCTGTGGTAATATGACACTGATACACATTCTCACTTTTAAGAACTGTATGTCTATGCTGTAATATTTATCTGCAATAAAACCAGAATTTATGACAAGTTGTCACTACCCTTGATAGTTCACATTTGCCAGATGTATCTCTGTTAAGCACAGTCTATGGATTTTTATATTTTCACTCCCTCATCCTTCATCTACCCACATATTAAATGTCACCTAAGAAAAAAAGGAAAATCTGCATAACATCAGACACAGCTCAGTAGAAGAGGCAATATGCAAATCATCCTTGCCATTTTCAGAAGTCGGTGACACTTAAAAGAACTCTCCATGAAACCAGAGTTTACATCTAGAACTAGAGTAAAACCCAAAGTCACTCCGAACACAATGCTGAGCTTTACCACTTCAGGTGTAGGCAAAGGTTTGAGGATGACTGGCCAGGCTACTTTTAGTCCCCAGAATTTAAGCATGGAGTTGTATGGATTACTGAAAATGGGAATCCTCATTCCCCAAGTGACCAAGAATACCTCCAGAGTTACACAGGCACTGAAAGGACTACGGTAGAGGCTGGACACTCCAACCCTGTCCTGGAACATTAGCTGTTACTTATTTTTAAGATGTAATCTAAAAAGGGTTTTTAAATGAACCAGGAGAAGGCAACACTACTTTCTGAAGGTTCAGTTTATTCAATATAGCTAGAAGTCCTGATACATCAACACAAACTAAGACCATGTAACTTTCAGGGAATTACTTTTAGCTTACTTATAATGGCAGCATTGTTCGTTTCTTTACGAAAACGAAACTTTCTCAGCTTTTCCACTAAATCTTCAGCAACATCACAAACCACCAAAGATTCACTCTAGAAAAGGGGGGAAAAAATCACATGTAAAATGCCATGACTTTAATATACCTACATGTTAAAGTCATAAAATCCAATACCTATAAAAAGCTATATTCACATCTGTAAGTGTTAATTATGTGAAAGTATTAAAATGAAACAAACGAATACTTAAAAGAGCTTTTAAGTCTACCAATCTTTGGAAGTACATTATTTAAGCACACACATTTCTTCATCTTGTATGTAAGGGTATACTTTACTTTCTCTTTGCCTAAGAAATGACTCAAAGAACCAGACACATAATAACATGCAATTTCATCAGAACTGGAGAAGGGAAAAGTCAAGGATCATTGTCTACTGTTGGAAAGTAAGGCAAGTATGTTTTTGCACTACACAGGACAAAGAGGAAAATTATCTTATTGAATTTAGAATCAATATGATGACATTGGTTCATTTTTGGGTCTCACAACTGTGAAAAATACAAATAACAAAAGTATGAAAAATATAAGAGACCAATAAATGTTTATAAACTTAATTAAATGACTGTGAGGATAAAGCACCCATTTTAGAGGCGCAAATGAATTGCACCATTACGAACTGTAAGCAAAATGATGGAAATCTTTTTTTCTTTTCAATATGTAAAGCTTCGAATACATGCAAAGGTAAAACCAATAATATAGTGAAACCCCTATGCACCTATTACTCAACTTCAACTATTATCATCACATAAAACCAAAAAACTAAACCCATTGACATCTAGTTGATTTGGACTCAAACGATCCTATATAACAGAGCAGAACCGCCCCATAGGGTTTCCAGGGCTGTAATCTTTACAGGAGCCAACTGCCACATCTTTCTCCAGCGGAGTGGCTGGTGAGTTCCGAACTGCCAACTTTTCCATTATCAGCCAAGCACTTAACCACTGTGCCACCAGGGCTTCTAATATCAAAACACAGCCAATCTTGTTTCATCTTAATCTTTCAATCTTATCCTGTGTTGGGTAAATGACAGCGTAAGTTAAAGCAGAAAATGTTTATCAATCTTAAATTGTTCTTTAAATTCAGAACACAGGTAATATGTAAGGTGTAATATACCATATGATGCTCTTATACAACCAGAAACTATATCCCACCAACAGGTACTAGCCAATAAATAACACCCTTGCAGGAGTTACGTACTTCCATTCTTTTAGCTCTCTTTAGACGAAGAGATGCTAAGTCTTACGCAGCTTCCTGAAGCTAGGATTCAACCCCATTCCATTTTTTTCTATCTTTCAAGAAAGATAGAGAAGTTAGAAAACTAGAATTTCCATCTTCTCTTCAACCAAAGATAGGACACATTATCAAAACTAACATATATTTTAGATTTCTGTTTATGCAAAACCAAGTTATCTTGAAAGTTCTATCTTCTAGCTCTGATATCCAGAGCTACGTGTGCAATCTTGATAGTCTAAGGACCAAGAACTAAATGAAAAATATGCTGTGATTTAACTTGTATAGCTCCTTTTTTTTGCATTTTCATCCCTTCCAATATTATAGTAAGGCCAAAAATTCCTTCCTACAAGAAAAAGGACTCAGGCTCAGTCAACTCTGATTGCTTACAGTTCAACAGAATCGCTTAAGTACAATGTCCCGAAAACAACTTTGTATGGTAAATGTTAACATAAAATTAAAGTGGAGAGTTGAGCTCAACTGTTCATTTATCAGTTGATCCATACAACCAACATTTAATGAGTACCTGGCACTGTGCCAAGTGCTAGGAATACAATCATATAAAAATAAAAAAATAAAAGGTATAGTCCCTGCCCTCAGGGAGCTTATATTATGTTCTAGTAAAGAGCAGACCTACATTAAAAGGATCAGGCAAAAAAAATGCAAAATTGTATCTGTGAAAAGGGCTAGAAAGGAGAGATACAATGCTGGGAACTTATGACTGGGGAAGAGCAGCACGGTCAAAGGAGGTTTCCCTGAAAAAGGCATCTGAAGGACCAAAGCTGCTTGTGCAAACTGCCTGTGAGCATAGCACATCTCAGATAATGAAAAGCCAGTGTGACTCAAGCACAGAGAATGAGCAGGAACATGGTACAAGAGGAAGTTGGTAGGGGCTGCACTACATAGAGCCCAGTGGGTCATATTAAGTATTTTGGTCTCTATCCTATGAGCAAACAAAAGACACTAATGTGTTTCAAGGAGGGTGCTGAAGGGAAACATGAACAGATTTACATTTCTGAAAAGATCACATTTGCTATGGTGTGAACAGGAAACAGGCAGTGAGCCAGGATGAATAAAGTAAGACTAGTTAAC